TAGTAGTAGTAGTGGTGGTGGTAGTAGTAGTAGTAGTAGTAGTAGTAGTAGTAGCGGTAGCAGCAGCAGCACTTGTAGTAGTAGTGCAATAGTTGCAGTAGCAGTAGGAGTGATAGTCAAATCAGTTGTACAAGTAGTATTAGTAGTAGTAGTAGAAGTAGTAGTAGAAGTAGTTGTAGTATTAGCAGCAGCAGCAGCAGCAGCTGTAGCAATAGTAGCATTAGCAGCAGCAGTAGTAGTTGTAGTAGTTGTAGCAACATTATTTTTAGTTTGGTGTGGTTGTCGCCACATATCTATTCCTTATCGCTTTCTTCCTCATCTTTGTTTCCTTATTACTCCTATTTTATGTTTTTATTTTTATTTTTATTATTACCACAGTTAGGAACAGCAGCAGTAGTAGTAACAATATTAAAGTTAAAGTTTGAAATCAGTAGTATTCTTCATCATCATCATAAACCACTTTTGCCGCTTAGCGACGTGGGGAGGAATAATTTGCGATCCAGTGCACGTTGGCTGCCACTAGCTATTGTCATGCCGTGAAGGCGTAGAGTGTCTTTAATGTTATCGTTCTATTTTTCCGCGGCCGTCCTCTTGCTGTTGTAGCTGATCTTCTGAGATGTAATGCTTGTGATGGTATTTGATCTTGCTTCATTCCACTTGATCTGCTGTTCCACGATGAATCTAGTACAAGGATGTCGTTTCCACAATTTGCCTGATAATTTCATTATTCACTCAATCTAAGATGGCTAGGTTGGCTGCTTTTCTCGAGGCACCTCATCTCGCAGGTGGTGATTTTGCGTTTATGGGCTTTAGATAGTGTCTATGTTTGGCACTGGTAGCTTAATGTTGGAATGCAATACGCTATTAATAATCTGTCTCTTTGCACTCATAGTTATGCTTGGATGTCTTAATAATGGTGACATTTGGTATATAAGTGCACTTGCTTTCTGACATTTAGTTTCTATTTCTCTGTCAATTCTACCATCTTATGTGATCATACTTCCTAGTTATTAAAATTCCCTAACTTGATTCAGAGCAGAACCACTAAGGCAGTAGTATTAACACTATTATTAGTAGTATAATTATTCATAGTGGTGGTGTTTTAGCATCAACAGTTTGTAAAAGTATATGTTTGTTACGTGTTCTTGTTGTAACAGTATGCATGACCTACGTAAAAATCTATTTGTTTCCTAATCTTTTTTTTTTTGCACTTTTTAACTGAATACAGAACACCCAGATCACCACCATAGAGGCAGGAAGCCTACCACCTCATCTGATGAATCTAGAATTGAGCAACAATCCTATAACGACAATCGACAACTCGGCATTCATCGAGTCAGCAGCCACCCTCCAGACCATGACCTTCTCCAGTGTTGCTTTCAGCCGAATCCCCGACGCCCTGCTCCAAATCACCAATCTGGCCTCTCTTGCCGTACTAGACAGCACTATCACAGACTGGAATGACAATGTCATGAAACATCTGGGTACAACCTTGCTAGTTCTTGAACTGGACAACATCAATCTTAAAACATGGCCGGAATGGATTCACTACCTGGTCCATTTGACCGACTTAAAAGTTGTCAATAATTTTATCAATGATATTCCAAATGATGCCTTCGACACTATAGCAAGCAGTCTGAATAGTCTGGCTCTCTACAACAACTACCTAGTCTCTATACCTGAAGCATTTAAGAGCCTCAGTTCCTTACAGATGTTGTACTTAAATGACAACCAGATTACTGATGTAAGGAACCTAGCACAGATACAAGGACCTCTTTTCTCACTAACCTTAAGTAATAACAAAATCTCCGCAGCAAATATCCTCAGCCAATCGCTGCGTCCGTTTGAACTAACATTATTCGGTATTGAAATTAATCATAATGAGTTAACTGCCATTCCTGATCTAAGTTTCTTGGAAGGTATCACAAATCTTGATCTCTCTTATAACAACATCTTCTCCGCCAGTCAACTTTCTCTACCACCAACACTCACTTCTCTTGATTTAGATAGCAATAATCTACGTTCCCTCCCATACAACATGTCAAGTTTATCACACGTCACTAACTTAATTTTGAATACTAATTTTATTACTGAAATCAACGGAATTGACTTTCCCCCACAAGTCATAAGTATTATTCTTGCATATAATTTAATCACAGAAATAACTGATACAAGTTTTCCGGACAATTCAAACATCGAAGAGTTAAATATAAACGACAATCCTTTATCTAAAATCTCTCCGCTAGCTTTTAAAAATTTACCTCATCTAAATCTCTTACAAATGAGAAATACAAAATTGACTAGACTTCCCATTTCTCTAGCCTTGGCTACAAATTTAGACAACTTCGACATCAGCGGGACATTTGGTCTAGTCTGTACCTGCGAGGAGAAAAGTCTTGGATCTGTTATTGGCACCATGAACTCGGACAATGTAAAGGGGGATTGTGGCTTGACCAGTGTCTATGACTTTTTTGTAACTCTGAGTCATTTCTGTCCTTGAGTTCTGCACTGAACACTTTGAGCACCCACTGTGGAAGAGAGAGAGAGAAAAAAAAAGGGTGGAGGGAGGAGTCTCGTAAGTATACCCACAAGTTGCAGCCTTGCCTGTTCAACACCTCATATTTCGTCCCGTCAGTTTTCTTACACGGTTAAGTGACCACTGATATTTGACACAAGGACCCGTTACCTGGCTTTCAGGTGCATTGGGCATATAGGGCTAGACTTGTATTTTATAGACCGATGGACACTCGGTAGATGATGTGGTCAACGTCATGCCGGTCGCCTTTACTTCCTAGGCCTGTTACCCATTTAAGGCTAGGTCAACATGGGAGCCATTGTAATGGGTTCCAATAAACGTCTTTACAGTATTCGTTCTTTTTTGTCTGATAGCTTTTGTACCAACTGTTGTCTATTACTTTGCTAACACTGTCTGACTGACTGACTGAGTCTCACTCGCTCATCAGCTGAATCACCTCTTCACTTATTCTCCTATCCAGTCAGTACTCATTGGCCCACTCACTCACTCACTCACTCACTCACTCACTCACTCACTCACTCACTCACTCACTCACTCACTCACTCACTCACTCACTCACTCACTCACTCACTCACTCACTCACTCACTCACTCACTCACTCACTCACTCACTCACTCACTCACTCACTCACTCACTCACTCACTCACTCACTCACTCGCTCGCTCGCTCGCTCGCTCGCTCGCTCGCTCACTCACTCACTCACTGACTCACTCACTCACTCACTTATTTGCACCCTCACTCACTCACTCACACACTCACGCACCAACCCAAACCCACTCACTCGCTCACTCACCTGTCCTCTCACTTACTCGCTCTGCCACTCAGCCGCTCACTTAATGACTCACTCACTCATCCACCAACTCACTCACTCGCCCACACACTTCAGCACTCACGTCAGTTTGATTATTTATAACGTCATCTGTAAACAAATATTCATCTCCAGAACAAGGCACTGCCTACACACGTGAAGAATGTCACAACTGATCTGGGAATTGCAGGTGGACCCAGCCTAAAACGAGTACCAGGAAATATGATAGGAAGTACAAGCAGCCAGCATGATGATGATACTGCCACCCGTCAAATGTCGATTTATGTATACAAATGTAGATCTAGCCCCCATATAGCCTATAAGCAAAAAACTGTGACAGTGGGTCTGCTAGTTTTACTTAGTCTCAATGCGTTTTGATGACCCGGTCCGTCACCACAGGAAATCTGACGCAGGCGGGTTGAGGGGGAGGAGGGGGGGGGGGGGGGATTAGTGGCGTAGGCCTTATTTCAGTGCGCATGCCTGATTTCAGTGCTCAATATTATTATTATTATCATCATTATGTGCTGAATAGTGTGTGTGTGTATATGTATATAATAGAGAAAGAGAGAGAGAGAGAGAGAGAGAGAGAGAGAGAGAGAGAGAGAGGAAGAGATAGAGAGAGAGAGAGAGAGACTTGTGTTTGTGAATGCATGTATGTATGTATTGGAGTCTTGTTTGTGTGAACGTAAATGTGTGTGTTTCTGAATGTCGACGCACTCAGTTTAAACAAATATTTAAGATTTTAATATGTTATGTCCTCGATATCTTCCTTGTTATAAAACCATTAAAAAATGCTCAGAACAGTCTCAAGCACCTTGTCTCTGTCCAAGTTAAACACCAGATCCTGTGACAAACATCCTTCCTGGCATGTTTCTAGTGTTCTTCAAATATATTAGTTGTGATTTTTTTTTTCTGTTTGGGCAACCAACGGTAACAACAGTTATAAAACAAAGAAGACGGAACTATATTGGAGCATACTGAGAAGAAACGAGTACAAAATCGTCGAAACATACCATGAACTGGAAAATAGAAGAGAGGACGTCTAAAAGAAATCCTAAAATGAACTTTAATGACAGAGGCCAAATGTGCTGGATTGAATCTTTTTTACGACCTTTTATACCGCATCGGGTGTCGACGGAGATATACGGTCCTGCTTCGTGCTATTCTGGCTGTAAATACACACATCGTGGTGCTGTAGAATTTCTGTAATGTTATTCTTTCATATTATTCTTGGTCTGTCTCTGGCTTTCATTCCCTCTCCTCTTTTGATATATGCCTTGTATGGTAAAGCATCAGAAGGTATTTTCTCCAAGTCAGGACAGGCATGCTTTGTGCAGAGTGGCATGCTTCACTGCGGAGGACACGGGTGAGGAGTATTGTTTGAATGTTTTCACCGGGTATGCAGGTGAGTGAGGAAATGAACAGGCAGACAGACTGGCTGGCTCTGCACAGCTTGATGGAATACTGATACATGATAAGGCAGACGTGGTTAATGCCTTGTAGGAGAGCATGAACAGTTCGGAGGAGAGATAGATCACCACAGTCTGGTGAGATTGATGCAGGGGGTAGTGATGAGAGGTTCTGGCAGATGATCGAGGCTCAGAGCAAAGGCAAGACGGACGTTTAAGCATCATGCTACTGGCACCATTAGTATCGGAACTCTTCACAGGCTGCTGAGGATGGAGACGGAACGCTTATGGGAATACCCCGAGTGCTGTTATGTCAGTTCTTGAATCAACTCTCTTCCACTCAATTCTCTCAAAATGGGCAAACCATTGATTTGCTGTCTTTGTATGCAATTTAGGGGACTGTATTCCACCCAGAATATCGAAGAGACTGAACAGAATCGAATATAACAGTGGAATTTACATATAATGGCACAGCAAGACAATGATGAATGATGATGATAAGATGACTGATACACGGCTAACATAAACTGGGCCATTCCGATTACTTCCGATCTGCTGTCTTACTTCGAAGCGTATTTTACAATTAAAGTGGACACGTCTTAAAAATCAAGCAGCTGCGTGGTCCATACTTGCACCGATCTATCAGCAGAGATAAGCGTACTGTGTAAACGGTAAGTTGGAAGTAGGCATTTAAAGACATTTGAGATTGTTAAAGAATTTTGGTAGCGTGTTAGCAGCAACATCAACATTTTTAGGTTACTTATTAAAGAGGTTTCTGTGGCAAAGTGGGCAGTTTGCCTTACGTATTGAAAGTCATTAGTTCATTTTACGGTGGCGTTGTAAGGTTTACAAGTGCAATTTATGCCTTGGGCTCGTCTCTACAACTAAGGAGTTTGTACTTTGTGCGACGCCCTGGGCAGGCAGCTAGCCGCACCACACACAGAGACTGGGACGGGTCGGACAAAATCAGGTGTAATCAAATCGATTCTCTTGATTCCAACTTCTACTTTTATGTAGTTTTAGGAGCAGGCTTTAGAATACTAATCTTTCAGAGATGTGGCTTGAGTTGAAAACTACTGTAAATCAAAGCAAAGTCACCTCTTCAAGGTAAAATGTTGCGAATATGTTTGGCAGCATAAGTAACTAACAACGATTACATGTAAAAGACTAAAGAAAATGTTAACTTATACACAACTACAGGGAAATAATAAGAACACCAAAGACCGAAATCTCTACAGATTACGCTCACCTATGCCATATGGAAAGTAACATGATAATGATGATGGTGAGAATCAGGAGGAGAAAGAAGGAAGAGGATGACAAGGAGGAGGGGATGATGATGATGATTATGATGAAGTTGCTTTTAATAATGATAATGATGTTGATGATGATGTTTACGATGATGATGATGATGGTGGTGTTCAGGGTGATGGTGTTGACGAAGATGAGGATGATGATATTGTTAATAATGGTGTTGGTGATGATGATGATGATGACGATGATATTGTTGATGGTGATAATAATGCTGATGATGTTAATGTAGACAATGATGATGTTGTGGTTGTTGATGCTGATTGAGTTGACGATGATGATGTTGATGTTGATGATGATGGTATTGATAATGAGGATGTTGATGATCATGCTGGTGACTTTGATGATGATGATGATCATTATCATCCTCATTATTATGGACATCAATGAATGAATCAATCAAGAATTGACATCACTGCAATAGGAACACTCCCACACGTGCTCCGTCCCTCTACCTAGGGCAGTTGCAACTTGATAAAAAGTTCGACTGTTATTCCCCTACGGGTAAAACAATCGTCCCGACGCTCTGCTCACTCACAGTTAAATCAATGTCTTCAGAAATCGTTGCTTTGTATCACATGTTGTGTTGTTTTCTTGACCTCAGAGTCTTCACCATGACCGCTTTATCATAAAGTAGCTCACCGCCCAGGGGGGCGGCAGCGATGAGTCTACCAACCTGCTGATTTCCACACACCCTGAATGTCCAGCGCCTGACATCAGTGATATGCTTCTTTTTTAAGCTTTATCAAGCGATTCCAGCCACTCAGGGGGTTCAGATGATATCTATTTTCTTGAACATTCTCTGCGATTATATAAGGTCAAGGTCCCTATTTCCACGCCCTCAGGCTTAATGGGCAAATAGGGCTAGACCTTTAATTTATAGGCCAATCAGCACAAGTTTGGTGAGGTGGTCAAGATAATCATTTTTTGAAAGAAATTCTGGCTCCGCCAGAGAGCGAACCCACGACCTTCCGATCCGCAGGCGAGCGTACGGCCGCTCCGCCACGGCGACTCCCTCTGTGAATATTTGGATGTGGAAAATCATTTTAGTCTGTATACTTCTTGGCGACTTAGATAGATCTCTCAGAAACCACGCACGCACACACGCACACACACACACACACACACACACAAACACACACGCGCGCGCATTTAATTAAATGAAGGTCTCTTTTAACGCCATGGAGAAACTTTTGCGAATGGTTGTTACCACATAGTTTACCAAACAGTCTGACAATCATCATTACAAACATCAAGTTTTGTCTTCAAGCTACAAGAATGAGAAACAGTTGCAGTCCATTGCAAAATGAGTAGCACCGGCTATTGTCTTTCTCTGTAGAGGTTGAATGTCTTTAATGGCATCATTCCATCGTCTCTTTGGGCGCCTTCTGGTATTTCATAACAAATGACCAGATAATCCATATTGATCCAGCCTA